GCCAGATTCTTAAAAATCTTGACTAACTTCATGTATATCTACCTTTTTAAAATATTTATGTTATTTTTGAAATCTATGTATTTTTAAAATATTTTTACTTTAGCTCTTTACTATATGTTTGGAAAAATATTCATGAATGCCCATTGGATACTCAAACCAATAAGGATTTAGATCTGGATTTACTTTTTCAGATCCGATCTGGATTTGAGTGTCATCAAATATAATGAGTCTAAATATAAATCAAAGAATCCAACTCAAACCCTACTAATTGACATGTCTAATTGAAAATAGTGACAGTATAAATAAAATTTTAGTGAGTACGCATCCAGATTTGTAGTACTCAACAAAATATGGTGGCTAATGATTGGAGAACTGCTATCAGTTTATTACTAGAAGAAACCATATATCAACCATCACATTGAATAAGGCAGAAGGTCCTAACAACCAAGAATGTATATATATATATATATATATATATATATATATATATATATATATATATATATATATTGTGCAAATTCACTGTTAACTTCTTTCGCTTGTAAGATCTGAATACAAAGATGGCCAAATGCGGGCTGAAAATCAAGGCCATTTCTTGAGAACATGAAACTTGATTTTGGAATTAGGGACCTTGAGTTTGCATCTTGGTGATTAATTTATTTGAACAACTCTTTTACCAAATGTGATGATACGTGAAACGCACGGACTTCTTTTCATGGTATATATGTGAATGTTAATCAATTTATTTTTTTGTTTTATATTTGTAATTGTGAAAGCTCTTGAATTACCTGTAAATACTTGTGTATCTGGAATTCAAGATTACATACAGAAAAGAACCAAGATTAAATACATGCAGACTCCAGTGGGGATAGATTATCATTTTTGCCTGCAAATTCAACCAAATGCAGTAAAAACATCTTCTCTTCAGATAATAAAACTAAGGCCAAGGAATAAATACATATCAGAAGAGCAAAAATTGCTCAAACATGCATACTCTAGTTGAAGAAAAGAAAAAATGGTTTTCTAAATTCCTGATGCAAGTAATCCTTTCCTTTCAAAATCTCACTATCAGAAGCTCAAGATTAAATTAAAAATGAAAAACGGGAAAAACAACTAGGAACATGATTTCATTATTCCGGTTAGTATGAACTTAAAAAAATTAGATACCCCCAAAGAACCCCAACATGGTTTGAATTGCTTATTTTGATTAGTATAAGAAGTTGTCTTTTTTTGAGGATGTTTTGGTTGATAAACGCTAGATATGAGTTATGATTCTTTGTAAATGCAATCAAATTGCATGTTTTCCACCTTATGACCAAACTTCATCATTCTTGGTAGAGGTAATAGTCGTACGATTTAAATAGTAGCACAAAACAGGAGCGTCCAAATTAAGGTGCCAACACGACTGAATTGCTTATAGTGACTGTAAAAATTTGACAGCCATGGGCTGCTATATAACATAACAAATGGATTGGTCATGCATAATGGTTGATATTCAACAATATTTTTGGCAAATTCCTGCAACTTAACCCAGGATCATTGATCCTTTTATTACTCATCCAGTGATCTATATTTTCATCATACATCTCCATTTCTGAATGAGTAGGTTTCCTTGCTTGTAATATCTAAACAGAAAGGTGACTAATGGTGGCTGACAATCAAGGGCATTTCTTGAGGGCATGAAACATGATTTTGGAATTAGGGTAACTTAATTTTAATGTATTGCAACCTTGAGAAGTTTGGCATCGTGGTGATTAATGTACTTGAGCAAGTCCTCTAGTAAATGTGACAACACATGAAGCCCACGGAACTTTCATCCTGGTATAAATATGACTTCTATCAATTTATTTTTTGTGTCATGGATTTTTAATATTTGTGAATGTGAAAGCTGATAAAAATCATTACTTGTAAATATTAAATACTTGTGTATCGGAAGTTCAAGATTGAATACATGCATACTCTAGTGGGGATAAATTGTTATTTTTGCAGATTCAACCTAATTCAGTACAGGTATCTTCACTTCAGATTTTGAAACTAAGCCCAAGAAGTTTAGATGCATCAGTTTTACCAATCTTTCAGTTCAGATACACCAGTTTCCTTTCAAAGTCTCAGCAGAGTTCAAGACTAAATACAGCAAAGAACAAAGCAAATTTTAAGTACACTTTTTACCGCTAAAGAGACGATGCTATAGTTGCAAGAAAATTTTTATCCTGTTTGTATAGATAGCAAAAATCCACCATTCTCTGAAAGGGGGAATGGGAAAAAAAAAAAATCACCAGCTAAAGTTCACGGATTACCCTCATGTTAAAGACTGGAAATTGGGGGCAGCACCAAATTCCTCTTCTCTTCATCTTCTTCTTCATCCAACAAAGCTGTTTCAGGGACTTCATGAAAGTTGAGAGCTATTCAACATTTTGTGGACCTATCGAACGTTTCTTTAATTGAGTTCTTTTTTTTTTGGGTAAGTTTTATAATTTTATCCTAGTAGTATGTGGTTGATGGACTGGAACTTCTGCAGTTAGACAGGTTAAAGTATGCTGTTGTGGGATTTCAGTAAATAGCTAAGAAGATTCAAGTTTTATTACTATCATTTTAGAGACGTTTCAGACAAACATATGGATATCGGCTAATACCAATTAAGGAAATGGAATAAGAGAAGATAGCGTAATATTCTGTGTACTTTGTTCCATCAATTTAGTTCTAACATGATATCTTAATGTTTAGAAAAGACTTATTTTTCAATTTAAAATTTGTTAAAGAGTCATGGGTCTTAACAATTTCCTCTTAGTACCGTAGGGAAGAATGCCCAACTCATTGCTTTTGCTTTTGCTTTTGCGATACAATTTGAACAAAAACAATGAACCCTTCTTCTACATGAAAAAAACTTTTTAAAATAAATGAAGAAATATACAAGTAAATTCTTTTACAAATTCGAGAAGTTGAGGAAAAAGATTTCTTTCTTACACATCTCATGATTCTATTGATCATGGGACCATGGTATGTAAAACAAAAATGATAATAACTTGTTTAAAAAAATGAAAGGACAAAGCATCGGTGAAGCAACTGACTAGAGTAAGTAAGGAACTTTTTCATTAACAAATGGTGAAGCAACTAACGAGAGTAAGTAAAGAACCTTGGCTTTGTTTGAATACCTCTTTTTTTTTTCAAATAATATTTCGCTTGCATCATAAATACATTTTCCAATTCATCTTTTTATCTCATATATATAGCATCACAAAAAATACTAAAATAATTATTTCAAATAATATTCTATCAGTTTTCTTCGACACCAAGCAAAAGATTAGAGGAAGAAAAGAAACTCCCACATAAAAATAAGAGACAATACATATATTATCACGGTTGAATGTATAACACATGAACAAAATTTAGATTTTAAATTTAAATTTATATAAGTTATCATATATGCAATACTAATGATGTATATGATAAGGTGCATTTTGTTAGTAATGTTGTGAATATTTTTCACTTGAATTTTGACCAAATATTGTACTGATCAGTAGATTCTACTCATATTTGATAATTAGCGCTGAGTATAGGAGTATGGCAAGAAAAGGAGTAAAAAGTAATTTAATGAAAATTTTTGGCCACTTCCTCGTGGCCGCGTTCAAATCCTACTGTCAAGTCCCAGAGACTCATGATTTTACCACGTGCGAAGGTTTCCTAGTTCGAATCGGACTCTGAGCAGACCTTGGTGGAAGATTTAGAAGTCATCTTTATCAGTTGTACTATTTGATTATCAGTTATAAAATGTTTGGTAGCTTACTTTCCACTTAGGACCATACTTTATTCCTTTAATAGCGATAATTTAGGAAGGAAATAAGAAAAGTTACGGCTGACCGTATAAAGATGTGATTAGTACGTCCGCAGGAGAACTCTGGCCCGAATTTGATTAGTCTCGCGTCAAGCAAAGGATCGAGCTCTCTCTTCGTCTTTTTTTTTTTTTTTTTCGCTTTTCTATTGTCCAATGTTCATGCAATTATTGTCGATAAAATTGCTTGGATTGTTCTAAATAACAAGCGGCTAAATTTTCTTTTCTAATTAAGGAACAATAGAGGATTTGGTTCATATGAAATTATGAAATCGAATTAATTATATTTATTTCTTTTATTTTCTAGTATTTATATATTCTCTGATTTTATTTCACATGGTTGTTATATTGCTTGAATACCCAAGGCCTGAAATTTAAATTAATCTAATAACCTAAAGCCAATTAGAGCAGTTAAATCCATAATTATTTAATTGCTTTAAAATAGTGATAACTGCCATGATTAGATTTGTGTCAGGGAAATATATGGGCTAATTCAAAATAACTTTCGTAGTGTGTTATTTGGTTAGAATAGAGATTTTTTTATTCTTAAGGCAATTGAAAAATTGAACTCTAAACTTGTACCTAGTTGATTAGGGCAGTGACTAATGGTCATACCTTAATCACCAATACAACAAGGAAAAGTTAATTGTCATCGCTTGTTTGACAATTATAACTTATTTATCAGTAAGTAAATGAAATTATTATTGCATGAATAATCAATTGAGTGAATCATCTCCGAAATTATTTCTTGACTAGAATTTATTTATTATTGTTTCATTTTTAATAAATTATTAGTTAGGTCTTTTTATTTGGGTTGTTTAATTATTCTCATTTTTATAAAAACCGGCCCTTACTTTGGGCTCTAGAAGAAACAAATTTTATCCAATCTCTGTAGATTCGACCCTACTCACTGTTATATATAAAATTTGTATTTTTCTTGAGTAGGTATTTTTTATTATACGAATTTAACGTCTGTCAGTGTATAGGTGTATAAAAGATTAATCTCAAATATAATGTTAGTGTTCATTATTAATCCTAAAGATAATGGTAGTGTTCATTGTGCTAATCTTAGCTATGAAGGCTAATAAATTCTCAAGGCACCTTACCTATAGAAACTATATAATGGATTCTCTAGCCATCCAACTAAAGTCATCAACATTACATACAACCCTTCCCTGAAAATTTCCTTTCTTTTTTTCTCTTCTACGTAGCCTAAAAAGTTTCCTAATCCAACAGAAATGTCGCTAGTAAAAATTGAGGAGTTTGGGGGAAAAAGGGAGATTATCAAACATTTTAGCCATGAGCATCCACTAGTTCTGGTGAGCGCACAAAACGTTCCAAGAGACAGCAAATGCTATGGCTGTGAACTACTTATCTCAGAACCAAGGTGCTACGAATGCAGCAGCAATGAGTGTCAAACTATCTTTCTCCACAAAAGCTGTGCAAATTTGCCCCGTGAGATTAAACATCCAATACACGCTGAACATCCCTTTACCCTCTTGGCAAAACCACCTTACACCAAATGCTTTTGCTCTTCTTGCGGCAAATTCATGGAAGGTTTCACCTTCAATTGTTCTTTCTGTAAATTTGACCTCTGTGTCGAATGTGCTCATCTTGTTCTGCAGAAACGTAGACTGAAGCACGACAGCCATCATCATTTCTTGACGTCAATGCAAAGGCCAGCTACTTTTAGTTGCGATGGTTGTGACGAAAAGAAGGAAGATTGGTCATTTTCATGCAACATCTGCCCCTATTGGATTCATCGAAGTTGTGCATTTTTGCCAACAACCAAGAAACGGGATGATCATGAGCACCCGCTTTCCTTGGCTTATCATCTCCCATTTGATTTGCGTCTCAACCACTTTAACTGTGATGTTTGCCGTCGGCCACTAAACCCGTCAAGGTGGTTTTATCAGTGCTACAGTTGTAAACACTTCGTCCATGTAGGATGCGTGCAGGATGGCACCAAACCAGCAGGAGCCAAGGGATCTTCTTCTTCGTAATAATTCGTATATTCACTTTTCTTTTTCCTGCCCTGCACTTAATGATTATTTACATATCATCCCACATGTTCTCTAGCATTTCAGGAACGGATGATGATCGATTCATAAATTGTCTAACTAATCATCAATGCTTGACATTTGTTTGTTTTTTGTCTCAGTGCCAGCAATCAACCAGATCATGGTCTTGATTTCAAGCCCCTACCGTGGACGGATATGTCAGCAGATTTGATTAGACCTTTCCTCGAGAAAATGGGCGACGTTGAAATACAACTAACCAACCAGATCAATCATTTCAGTCACGAGCATCAATTGATTCTTTCAGTGGCAGAGGTTGACAAGGACAATAATGAAGAAGAAATGTTATGTGACGCATGCATTGAACCAATTTCTACTCCTTATTACACTTGTTCTCAGTGCAACTTCTTGCTGCATCTAAATTGCGCCAACATACCAGCAAAAATGAAAGCACACCACGATCATCCAGAACACCAACTTTCGCTGAGAAAATTGGAAAACAAGTATGGCTACTTTTATTGTAATTTTTGTTTCCTGAACTGCAACGGATTCTTCTTTGAATGTGAGCCCTGCAACTACCGAATCGATCTCCATTGTGCTTTCCTGCCAAGGACTATTACTCATCAAATTCATGATCAACATGTCCTCAATCGAAATATAGCACCAATGGAATGCTTGTGTGATGCATGTGGGAACAAGTTTTTTGGCGATGCATCTGAGAAAAAGATTTCTGGCCTCGTCCGTTACAGTTGTGACGACTGTTTCAAGTTGTCCTTGCATTATCAATGTGCAATCATGCCCCATACCGTCGCACACAGATGGGATAAGCATTGCCTTACCTTGATGTATCCCCCTTTTGGTGACCATCCAGATGAGTTCTACTGTGAGATTTGTGGAGAAGAAATCAATCCCAAACATTGGCTCTATCATTGCAAGGAATGCGATCAATCCTTTCATCTTTATTGCATCCCTCGACTTCGGAAGGATCGTTTTATGAAGTTTGGCAAAACCCTTCAGGTCAGCGATCACCAACACCCTCTTACATCAATCAGGGAATGTCGAAACGGGTCTTCGTGTAACCGTTGCAGCACAAAATTGAGCGGAGGAAAAGGCTTTGAATGTGGAAAATGTAAGTTTTTCCTCTGTTACAAATGTGCTTGTGATGTGCCTCCAGAACCAGCCGTTTGTGTCATACTGTGAAGTGGGGATTATTAGTTATGTTTTATTACTATTAGCACAAATGGTTTGTATTGACGAGTGTAAGTCCACCCACTATAATAAGTAGATTTCTATGTAATAAACTAGGATATGTAAACAATTTAATTAAATCCATTTAATTGATGAATAGTGGATTGACTCGTATCATCCATTTATGCACATTTAAAAATAATTGTAAATTTAACTCAATTTTTTTGAGTGTTAAGCCAAAAATTTTAAATTTTTACTAATATAATAACAATAAAATGTTATTATTTCTCCTATTTACTAAATGGGTATAAATAATTTGGCTTATTTATAATCATTACCTAATCATGACTCGACCAAATCCGTCTAGTCACCAATTTTTACACCTCTAATTACTATCCACCAGATTATAAATTATGATTGATTGCTAGCTATCATCTTCAATCTTGATTATCATGAGTCATGACCACTCGAAAAGGGATCTAATCAAGATGGGCCACGTCAATTATTTGTAGTTCTATGTAGCAATTTAATTGGTTACATATTTCACTAAAAATAAATAATGTATAATCAACAACAATAATGCTAAGAGCTGTCTTTAATTAAGATTCTTTTATATCTAAATTAAAAGGCTTTTTCTCACCTGCATGTCTAGAGCAAAATACAGTTTGTTTAGTAGAGATAAATTACTGTTATTAGGAAAACTTGCTTGTTAAAATATTCTTGTTCCAATTTCCAAGATAAGAATCACATCATCATAATTTTGTTGCTTTTATGATTCATAAATTCATAGTCTCGTTATGGGTATATATATATATATATATATTTTTTTTTTTTTTCAATTTGCCGAACCATTATTTCTGAACCTTTCCACTTTCTAAATACTTTTCTTTTCATGTCTTCTTCTAACTTATCTCAATGTTTAAATTTTTCGAGTTGTCTCCTCAAATCTATATCAGCTATTACCAAATAATAAATTGGCAAATGCCGTGCACTATGTGTGCAAAATTCGGATTTTTTTTTTTTTTACATCTTTCTCTACACTAGAGAACGGTCCAATAAAAAATAATAATTGCGAATAGATCGAGAAATTAGTACTATACCAACACATATATCTATTTACTTGCTGATGATTATTGTTAAGTGGAGACGAGGTGGGCCTGTAGCTCAGAGGATTAGAGCACGCGGCTACGAACCACGGTGTCGAACCTACGAATTCGTCAATTATGAGTTGGGCGCTTTAACCATTCAGCCATGGATGCTTAGCGGGAATCCTCGTACATGGTGAATAACCAAATCCCAATTGAAATGAAATCTTTAGGATAAATCAATGCAATTTAGGAGGAATCAATAAAAGGACATCAATTTAAATCCTGGATTTTCGAATTGAGAGAGATATTGAGAGAGATCAAGAATTCTCACTATTTCTTAGATTCATGGACCCAATTCAATTCAGTGGGATCTTTCATTCACATTTTTTCAGAAAAATGGATTTTGTATTTATGAAGCTTGTGATGTTTAGTGAAAGAATCATGGAGAGTTGCATGACGCTCATAAATCATCTAAGAAAGTCTACTTTGATTTTTCTGTAACATTAAAAACATGAAATCATATTCTTTTATTTTGTTTCTTTTAGCCACCAGTGGAATTTGGTTGAACACTAATGGCAGAATATATATATATATATATATATATATATATATATATATATATATATATATATATATATATATATATATAATTGACTAATTTAATATGAATTTTAGTAGAAAGGCTTTTTCATTCTCCAAGATCAATTGTACAAATCCTAGAATATTTATGAAGCTAACATGTGCGCATTGTGTGCATAATTTTCCTCATAAACATAAAACTTCAAAAATGTTTCAGCTAATTAAATCTATTGTACACTACCGAGGCAACTTAATTAAACGCTATAACAAATGATATAGCAAGAAAAACTAGATTTTCGATTTTGTATCATACTTATTTGGGCACAACTAAATTTCAGTGATTCAGTCTAACTTTCAGGGTTGTTCAATCATTACTTGACAGCGATCGATGAACTGTTACAAGTCATTAATTCATTTATGAAGATAGTGATAGTTGTTTTGCAGCAACGGCAAATGGAATAAGGAGTTGTGTAGGAGGAGAGTTGAAGATAAACTGTCAGTGCGCTTTCTTCTGGAAGGAAGTTTGTGGGTGCAACGAGAAAATGGTAGTTGCAGTGCGAGAGGAAAAGAAAAGAATTTGTTTGACATCATCATGTCGGGGAAGAAGCAAGTGAGCACATTTATTTGTCACTATATTATACTCTTTCTGTCCCATTTTGGTAGTTCTAGTTTTTTTTACATAATTTAAGAAAAAGTAGTTAATTTTGTTGGAAAAACAAATTTGGCTATTTTCTTAAAATACTCTTACATTAAATAAAGTTGGCTTTTCACATATCAATATGTTTTGAAAAATATAAATGCATTAAATGGAGTAGGTTATATTCAATACTAACAATCTTATATTAAATAAGGTAATTTATAGTTATAACAACTTACATTAAATAAGGATATTTTAGAGAAATTAAAAGACAACTATATTCTTCAATTGAAAAATGGACTACAATTTGGGACAGATGAAAAAGGAAAACAAGACTATCAAAATGGGACGGAGGGAGTATTTGTCTATTGTCACCCGACTCACCCCTTTCAATTATCTGTTATCCTGCTTTTTAATTAATGAATAATAATTAGGTAGACAATGTGAAATATCCTGGGTAATTTGAATACTCAGTCATCGTATCGTATCGATGAATGGAGAATGTTTCTGATTCATGCTAGCTAGCTAGGATATATGATGAGCAGGCAATTTTTAAAAGGGCCTTGGAACCAGAACAAATAAATCCCTTGGGGATGGTTTGGAATATCTTTAACTGATTCTTGCGTGGAGAATGATCATTCGAGGCATTAGTTCAGATCTGCTATATATTCTGTAAATAGAGCCATGCATGGATGATATCTTTAGAAAAGAGCATGAAAGAAGGATGGATTTTTTTTTTTTTTTTTTTTGGGTATTAATGGCAATGTTAATAGAGGAACAAGAGATGAAAAGAAATGTGAAATTAGCTTAAAGTTATGGTGGTAGCTGTTAGATTCATTTGAAAAAGGGTTATGCGTAAAGTTTAATTCACTGGAATACGAGATTAATAATATTGCTTAATGAGTGTCTTTAATTTTTCTGTTAACCACTTCTCAACCCCTGAGGATGAATAAATATTGTTGCTTTATATATATATATATATATGTGTGTGTGTGTGTGTGTGTGTGTGTGTGTGTGTGTGGATGTATACATGGAGTATTTAATTTTGTTTGAACATCTGTAGACAATCTACGTATAAATTTCCATGTTTTAATTACTTCTCTTACACGTCTTGCTATGTTGCAATTCTGCATGGTATATATATTAATCTGGTTACTTTTCATGAACTGATTTATATGTCATGAAATTAAATTCAACTGGTGCTTCTGAGTCTTCTGATTATGGTCAGTCTGAAAAAAGAGGAGGTGGATTCCCGTTCAATTTTTAACTCTTTTATAATTGTAGTTATTGCCAAAATAAAATCATTGATTATTATTACGATTGAATTTAGATCATAATCTATAATCGTAGTAAATTAAACAAATAATATTTATATAAGCTGAACTTAAATATGAAAAACCCTAAGTAATTTAAGTAAGGTGAGCTTAAATATGAAATCCAGCTTTGTTCTACATTGCTTTGGAATTAAAAAAAAAAAAAAAAACAGAAAACACAGGTATTGCTTTGAACTAAGCTTTTGTTCCACACATTTTAATAACTTATTCAAAGATTCAAGCAGCTAGCAGGATTCCATGGCTTTTCAGACGAGTTTAGATGTTAACACTAAAAGTGTAATAACATATATTTAAAGAGTAAATCTTTCCTACACTGATAGTGTATATACTATCATCGTTGGATTTATGACATGTGTGCAAAAATTGAATTTCAAAATCAAATTTTGCATAGTTGTCATTCATCCAATAATGATAATGTATACACTGTCAATGTAAAAAAGATTAATTCATATTTAAATCCCTTGAAAACTAGTTTGAAAGTGACACCAGCGAGTAGGTAAGGAGGAACTGGGAGAAAAAATATTTATCTTTTGATGGTGGTATAGAAAATTACAAAAATTGAAGGCCATAATTAATTGTATATGTTTAAAATACCTTAGAAAGCCTTTCCACCCCCTCTTGTGATAAGAGACACCTTAGAATTAGAAAGCTATTTAAGTTGTGACTGATGCAATCTCTTTATAAATAATCTCAAAATTTGAAGGATGAAAACAAAGCTTGTGTAGTTTCAATGAGCAAATAAAATGTTAAATGTAACTAGAAAGTGCAAGAGTGAGAACTGATTGTTTGTCACATGCAAATAAAAAAGAAAAACTAGAAAAATAAAATTAAAAAGAAATCTTCATGGTGAATTAATATTTTAAGCATGACTGATGACATTTCCACCAGGACCGCACGCCAATTGCCCGTGTTAATAAAAAAGAATACTAGATTAAAAAAAATCATGGTGACATTTCTATATATATATGTACACTCTCCTCAATATACAACAATTTTAGAGTAGAAGAGAGCGAAATAGTGCTAGTGAAGTTTTTATTATCTAATGCGCCAAATCTAGCTATTCGAAAGATAGTGAGGGAATCATCCCAAGGGATAAGAAGCGAAGTCAACTTAGTTACCAACTCACTAGAAGATTACCAGCGAAGTTAATATGAGTAAATCTTATATGCACTGACAATGTATACACTAACATCATTTGATTCATGACATGTGTGCAAAAATTGAATTTCAAATTTAAATTTTGCGTAGTTATCATTAAAGATTAATCATATATATATATATATTAATGTATAGGTATATATATGTACTCTCCTCAATATACAACAATTTTAAGGTAGAAGAAAGCAAATAGTGCTATTGAAGTTTTTACTATCTAATGCGCCAAATCTAGTTATTCGAAAGATAGTGAAGGAATCATCTCAAGGGATAAGAAGCGAAATTAACTTGGTTACTAATTCACTAGAAGATTACCGCT